CAGCAGGAAGTGGGCGGAGTCCAGTGAGTGAAAGTGAGCGAACTAACAAAACAAACTAACAGCATCGTGTTTGTTCCAGCATCGTTTCGGCTAACGGGTCCTGTCTTCACCATGGATGGTATGCCGACGCCTTTGCGGTGCTTTCGGGAGTGCCATTCCGCAGAAATGTTCGTGGATGACGGAGTGAAGACTGTCACTTCGGTAGAGCAGGTGAACAGATTAGCTTCGTTAGCTAATGTGGCTAATGCCGCTGCGATCGTGTGGGAGCTCTCCGCTCTGGGTGGAAAAGTGTGGCAGAGATTCAGCTGTCACACGTTTTTAACACATGAACAATCCATTGATTAAAAACACAGTCGGAAACGTTCATTATTTCGCTATGTTTTAGCCGGTCTAAATTAGCAATCTTGAACTTTTAGGTAACTTAGCATTGTAGCTTAAATTGAATTAAGTTTGGATCAATTTAGTTGTTAGCTAAGTAGCTTCGACAATTCATTTTTGGTGCTTGGTAATAGGGGAAGGTGATTCTGGTACCTCAGCCAGGATCACAGATATCAACCCATCACAGTAGCTTTTATTTTTAAAAGGGGCCTATGTAACTTCAATTTTGATGGGAGACAACGTTGAATGTTTTGAAATATTTCTGAGTACATTTTAATTACCACTAGGCCTGCCTGCAACTAACTGTTTTTTAAATTATTTCAATTATTATTATTATTTACTATCATTATTAATTATTGCCTTAGTAGAGTGCCCAAACCTTTGCAAATGCCAGAATTACTAAAAACAATTTCTTTAGCTCACAGTGACCTTTGTAACGATTGTTTACACTCTCCTTCTTTATAACCAGAAAAAAGTGGAACGCAGCATTGCAGAAGTTATCGGTGTTTACAAGCAGATCCACAACGTTCCTCAGTAAGTAATCCACAGTGTGCTGCTGAATGCTGGAGAATGTTTGTCCTGCTGCAGAAACATTCTCTTTGCAAACTGCCACTTTGTAAACGTTCCACTTGGGGGCGCTGGAAGCAACACAACATTGACATAAAATCGCCTTTTAAGTTGATGTGGGGAACACGTTGGCAAACAGCTGCTTATTTACACATTTAGCAGTCATGGAGGAACATTATCTTCTGTTTGAACCTATGTCTCAGGCCACCTGAAGTTCATGCTCTTTTAACAGTTTTTGTCTTGTTCTGAGGGAAACGTATCTGGCTCTCTAGCTCCTAGATGCTCCACTCTGTTCACCGGCTGGTTTTTATTAACAGTCTGTCTGCTGTTTTGTGCTGAACAGTTAGTGTTCATTTGGTTTTTAGAGCTGTGACTCTGCAGCTTCATCACTGCATGTGACCCTTTTCCATTATCACAGTGCTGTCATTTTGTCAGTCGAAACATTGCTCTAAAAACGTTGATCATAGCTGCTTTCAGCTTTCTCTTTCAGCGAAGTGGACACTGCTCACTTGCTGTGGCTGTTAGACATGGCTGCACAGGTCTGTGTGATGGCTAATGTCTAATTGGTGTGTTGATCAGCCCACATGTTCTGCTCTTGCTATCCAGCTGTCTCTCCTCTTGTAATGTGGTGACTTATCTCATTTGCCTGGACCTGAATGTCACCGGCACTGCAGCCAATCGAGAAATGTTTACTCATTATATGGCACGATGAGAAAATCGGAGGTATCCATCAGTAGAGGTCATACATTTATTAGTGATCATCTGGGTTTTTTTGGGGGGGGATGGCCTGCACTGGGTGTTTGTCATTGTTTGTATTGTTTTGTACATACTTTTGTTCTTCTTCTTTCTCGCATAAAGATACACATTAAATGAAAATAAGCTACTGTAATGCTTTTTTGATCCCCAAGGGGAGTTGGTTGTTACAGCAGCAAATGATAATGATGCAAAAAGGCTAAAAAAGAGCAAAAGAAATACAAATTAGGAGAACTACTACATAAATAGAAATTAGTGTATACTAGCATGTGAAGACATACAGGGCCTGAGCCACTCACTCTTCCCTTTTGTCTTTTTGATGTGAGTGTGCATTTGTACACCTCTGTGCAACTTTCATCTGCATCTGTGGCTCCTTCCACACACTGGCGTATGTGTCAGACTCACTGACACACATACCCCACCCCACTCATGTTCACTGGCTGCCATTTTCACATAGGGTTTGCTCCGACATGTAATGACACTTTACTTACACAGGGTTAGTGCAGATCACTGCCCAGGGTTTTGTAGCTGCATTTCTGCAACACATCAGCAGTCATAGGGGACCAGTGCTAAGCAGCTAAAAGCCAGTCCACCCAGCGCAGTTTATCACATTGGTCAAGGATGAGGGCAGTGTGCAAGAGAATTAAACCTGTAATTCCAGTCTCAAGCTGAACAAAACAAACATCTGAAAGAGAGAAGACAGAGGCTTAATAATACACACCATTACCACAGATATCGTTCCATTTCTAATTCCATTAACATTGCAAGTGACATTTGTGTCTGTGTGACTTCTGTTCTACAAAATCAAGTTTAGAGCTGCACACAAGGAGACAGATTATTTGAATGCCTGAAATATAAAGCCATTTTTCATGCTACCTGAAGTGTGATCACTTGAGGTCACATCTGATATTCAAAGTGGCAACAACAAGTACCTCTGTGTCAGCTGAGCCTAGTATATTTGACACAACTGTGGCAGAAAATGGCATTTCTACAAAAGGACTGAGTTGAGTTTCCTCGGTCTCACATGTCTTGGTCCATTCTAGCTGCTTTCTCTCTGTAATCCATCTTCCTGTGCTGCTTTTGTTTTTCAGGCCAACATTGTTGCGGGAACAACACTACCAATATCTCAAGAAGGGCTTACGTCATTTATCTGACGCCTATGAGGTATAGTGTCACGCCGTCACACACAGGCAAAGATGTGTTTGTTATAAACCCAGTGACACCTACAAGCGAGTTCCCCCCTTTACGTTCCTACTAAAGTTAACTCAGAGGATGAATTTGCAACAGGGTCATGGATGCCCAAGGCTCTCTGATGATTGAGGTTGACCTACTGAAGTTTATAGTTTCATTCATCCTTTTCAAAAGATTCCATTTTGTTTGAATCTTGGTCTCTATGAAGAGAAACATTCAGAGGCTGTAGTGGTGATATCACATCTAGAGCAGGGAGGCTGGTGAATTAAACTAACGTGTCCTCATGACCACAGTTTTCACTCCTTTTACAAAAGTTTGTCACTGAATGGTTGACACATTTATGCTCTTCCTGACGGCAGAACTATAGAAGCAAACAGATTCACAGAAGATGCAGAGTGACACGAGTGCTGACCAACTGCTTCAGTGACTTCTGTGTACATAATGTTATGGCCGATCGGTGTATGTTCAGATAAACATTTGCTGGAGTGTTGCAGAGAACTGACAATGGAAATTAGAAGCTGCATCACATCCCTAAAGCTGATTATATGTTAAACAAACACTGGAGGAAAGAAAGTGGTGTGTCAGCTCTTTGTCTGACAAATTCTCTCGTCTGTCTCGGACTGACTGATGTCGTAGCTTGTTTATCGCTATATTCAGTCGTCTGATGTCCGTGTGGTCATGTGATAATGTGCGCATGTGTGTGTCTGTCTGTCTCTGTGCAAGTAGTGTCTGGATGCTAGCAGACCGTGGCTTTGCTTCTGGATTCTTCACAGTCTGGAGTTACTAGAGGAGCCCATTCCCTCTGCTGTCGCCTCAGAGTGAGTCACGCGCAAACACACACAGGCTCGTACGCTACAACTAAACTGCTACTGAGATCCAAAACTGGAGCCAAATAAAGCCTGTGCACAGCCAAGAACTTTTTTTTTTATTGCTGTAGTTCTCATACATGCTCTAAATGCTCCTGGAAAAGCAAACACTCCTGCATTGCAAGATGTTGATAGATCAAGTGCAGCAGCTACATCCAAACTGCCCTTACAATAGTTGTTGTTGTTTAGTTTCATAAAATAAATTGCATTTTACAGGTAATGCGATACGGTTGCCCACCCCAAATGGACATCTGTTCATCTAATATGTTTTAAATGTGGTTTTATAGCTCTATAAGAACACACCGCTTCAGGAGACACAGTAGTATATACAGTCGTGTGTGAGAGTTGTAGACATCCAGAGTCAGCAGAACAGCACCAGTTCTTCTTGGTACACTTGTGCAGTCTTTCCAGGTACTTGGCAGGCGGGTTGTTCTGAGCGTCTCGGAGAACTTTCCATGGTTCTGCTGTGGATTTAGGCCATCTCAGTGAAAACTGTCTCTGCGTGTAATCCCAGACTGACTCCATGACGCTGAGATCAGGCCAGACCATCTGCTACAGGACTCTTTGTTCTTCTTCATCTCCTTCTCTATGTTTGGGGTCATCTTCATGCTGCAGAATGATCAGTAGCCTCCCTCATAGTATTGCATGAAGGAATATGAAAAATCTAGACTACCCAAATGTTTTGTGCAGCACTGTTCAGTGATTGCATTTATTTCTACGGGTGTCTTGAGATGTTTAAAGACAGATGTAACAATAGATTCATAAAAGCAAGACTACATTACTGCAGAGAAGCAGATTGAGGTTTTTTTAAATGACCTGATATTTATGACCAGGCGCAAGCAGAATCTGTGGATTTTCTGTGGTTATTCTAGAAAGTTGACTTGAGAAATGTCACAGATTGTTGTGTAAGGAATGAAAAAGAAGCGCTGGACAGAGACGCAACTGGCCAGTCAAGGTCATGTTGTATTCCTGAACAGAATATAACATGATTCAATAATAAGCAATAACCACAGAAAGGCTTGTAGAATGCTGCTTATTGTTCTTGTAGTTGCCAAAAGTAGCTGCACAATTAATCTTACTTTTCTTCTTTAACTGAACACCCACAGTAATTCACTGTAGTGTTCACGTAGGAGGCGGTGAACATAATGTTTTTCCTCAAATTATCTTGACTGATAATTGCGATTAAGAGCAGTAATGAGTACTGAGCACAATAGGCGCATGTGTTTTAGAGATGTTTCTGCACTACACAGTGTTCCTGCTATTGCTACCAAAATGTCATTTGATTAAGTTATTGCCAGTCCAAAGTAACGCTCTGCAAACCCCGCAGCAAGTAGCGATGCCAGGCTGCCAACCCACACTCTCATTATTACTGTGAGGCGCGCCAGCTCACCGGCTGGCACTGCCCAGCGCCAGCGTGATGCCGTCGTGCTCTCATGCACAAACACACAGGCCCCGTTCGAGGATTTACACCGCTGCTACCTTCAGCAGCAGATCGCTTCCTCTGTCCTATGAAATGTACTCTCAGGTCAGAACTGGCACCGGGCTAGTTGGCCGAACCTAAAGTAGGGTTCCCTTCCAACTCAGTTGGCTCAAGGTGTGCATGCAGTTTTGTGATTTCTCTTCATGGCAGAGGATGAAGAGGATATTTGCAGCTTGGCACAGAGACTGGAAAGAAAGGAAGCTGTGGCTGAAATGGTCTGCGCTCTGAGCCACGTCAGCGACAGGGAACGAACCCAGTGGAGCTTGACTGATGTGTTGAGACAGGGCAGTTTATGAGTCAGTGAAGTTTCAAGGAATGTTGGCGAAAAAGATTTATTTCACGGTGCAGGTACTTAAAATTTTAGGTACGCTTCATGGAAAATGCCAGGACTTTCTTAGACCCATCTTCCATTATGCACAGTTAGACACATTCACATGTGGAATTTGATCAAAACAAAGTCCTCCAGGTGAGAGAGAGAAGTATCTAGACCTGAAAGTATTTAGCACTTCTTTGTGTTTAAAAGGAAACGTTTCTAAAAGTTTGATGTCGTCAGTGTGACTGACCCTCTTTCACAGTAAAAACCTGGAGAATTCAAGCAGGACACCAGTGGTTTGTGAGCAGGACTGTGTGAGGCAGGATGTCCAGTAAAGCCCACTTCACTGGGGATCATTTCAATAACAATCAAAAGACAGGCTTCTCATGTTTTATACCTCTGTTTAATTCTTACACCTGCAGCCTATAAACATCCACTGGTTGTGGTCACATGGCTTAGATATAGTAAGTCAAAAATAAAAATCCACAGTTTGATATTATAATAGAGGTAACTGAAGGCGTCGCAGACTTTTTTTTATTATAAATGAATAAATATTACAGCGCTAAACGAGACTGTGTGGGAGTTTTTCCACTTCATAGTTACACTGATGTGTTTCCCTCGTTGCTGTTGTGTCTGTGTGTTAGGGTCAGTACAGTTTAAATCTATTTCTTGTTCCTAAACTTCTGCTCCTGTCTCTGTAGTGTGTGTCAGTTCCTGGCTCGCTGTCAGAGCCCAACAGGGGGCTTTGGTGGGGGACCGGGGCAGCACGCCCACCTCGCACCCACCTATGCTGCCGTCAACGCCCTCTGTATCATCGGCACAGAAGAGGCCTATAATGTTATAGACAGGTATAGCGTTGGTCACACAGCTACGTTTACTTCACAAAACAGTAGCATAGTACAAGATTTCCTGTCAAAGTTTTTGTATTTAAGGTAACCTCATTTACCTTAAAAATGAATATAACTCGCATGATGCACCATAAATAGTAAAAAAATATACAACACTATGTGTCAAATTACCTTAAGGGATTAACACTTATGCACTGAAGTCTCGTGCACCCTGACTGAGAAGACAATGGCTTTTTCATTCACATTACATCTGGTTGATATTCACAAGCTTTTCATTAGTGACTGTATAATGATTTTATGCTTGAAAGTGGCTCATTAATTTAGGCCTTTAAATCCTTTTTATATTAGTGAATTTTTCCTCCAGTGCTACACAGTAGCAGTGTTACAGGTGTAGGAGAATGTTACACAAATCTCTTGTTAATGAGAAGCTAATTATAAGAGCATTTAGAGGCAGTGTTGACTTGTGCTCTGCATTTATATGTGTGACAGTATGAGGTGCTTTATTTCAGTATTTACAGTGCAAATTCCCCTTGCCCCCCCCCTCCTCTCTGCTGACGTTCTCCAGGGAGAAGCTGCTAGATTTCCTTTGGTCAGTGAAGCAACCAGATGGCTCGTTCGTGATGCACATCGGAGGCGAGGTGGATGTCAGGTGACCGGACTAGCTCCCTGTTCTCTTTCCTCTTTCACCAGTTCAGTGTTTGCAACACAGAGAGATTCAAACATCACCACAGAGGAGGGTGAAAAACATGCTTCACAGTCAAGAGGATGTTTGGTATCCACTGTCTTATTCATTACTGTTGGGGCAGTGTACACACGTTACAGCTACACCTGCACACTGTATTCTCAATTACTCAAAGCACAGATTTGTATTAATCCACAGCTGGAAGTAGTCCGGCGTGAGGGTGGAATGTGTCGCTCTTTGTTGATCTGTATCAGCCTGTGTTGTTTCTCCTCCGTATAGGAGTGCATACTGCGCAGTCTCTGTAGCATCGCTCACAAACATCCTCACACCTAAACTGTTTGAGGACACGACCACCTGGATCCTCAGGTACAACCCGTCACCATGGGCGGGGGGGGATTATTGAATTATTAAAGACTGTTTTGTTCCTACATTTCTCCTTAATCCACAGAGTTTTGTGTTTTTACCAACTGTTTTCTGTCTCTAGGTGTCAGAATTGGGAGGGTGGTCTAAGTGGAGTGCCGGGTTTGGAGGCCCACGGTGGCTACACTTTCTGTGGCACAGCCGCCCTCGTCATCCTGAGCAAGGAACACATGCTGGATCTCAAAGCCTTGCTGGTAAGCAACCTCAGATACCGCTTGGCTCGAGTCATAAAGGGGTAAAAAGATCAGTGTCAGTCACAGCACAGCCTTTGTGCTAAAGTTATATCGCTGTCCTACCTTGACATGACTTTTTTCTAGTTTATGTTGCCATCAGGCTCTTGGCGTATCCAAGTTTCCATCAGTTTCCTTACTGTGGTTTATGGTTTGGGATATTACATTGGTCCCTGTAAGGAAATTCTCTTGTCCTGCTTCTAGAGAAATAGTCAGAGGAGCAGCCCTGGGGCTTTAGTATGTATAGAGCTTTGCTAAGAGCATAGCTGTAGATGAAGTTAACACACAGCTTAAGGTGCTGAAAAAGAAAGAGGGATGGTGTGTCACCTTACACCTCTCATTGAAGGGAAAAAACACAGTTAGTGTTTGGAGTCAGTCGGGTTTACGGCCATCATTCAGGAAGAAACATGGCTTAATCCCAGCAGCTACCATCATACTGTCACCGTCCTTTAGAACACACTCAAAGTATGTGTGGTAATAACATTTGCATGCACCTGGTCAGACAAGCTGTTCCTCATATGCTCATTAATCTGCCGGTGTCACAGGTTGACAGGAGCGTGCCCTCTGAGGTGTCCTGTGTCACTGTCCCATGTCCCTCTGGGGACACCCAGCACATGGATTTCTGTTTCAGTGGTTTAACCTGGGTGTCAGACACGGCAGAGGTTGTAAGTCGACACCAGGTCGAGAATATCTAGCACAGCTCACCTGTTGTATCTGCTCCGCGCTTGTACATGGCAGGTGGTGGTGTAGCTGAAGAACTAGTCGTGTTGAATCTGTTAGGGGTGTTTCCTGTTTGACATTGCAGTGGTATATAAATAT